ATTTGGTTATAAGTTTTTCACAATTTCAGGCCACTTTAGGTTGTATGTAAATGTAATAAATAAGTCAAGTTTTCCAAAATATGTGATAATAACAATAGCATCTTGACAATATTGTTGCATTACTCGTGGGCTACTAAGAAATGTAGAAGGCAAAATTATAGCTCTTTTAGTTTCAGTGTTATTAGTAGCGGCTCTGTTACTAACATAGTCCATAAAACCTGTGTAATAATCCACTTTTAAGTGTTTTTGATGAGTGCAAAAAAAAATTAAAGTTGTTAGATTCAACCTTTACATAAGCATTAATCATAAATTGTTAAGTGAACTTCCCAACATATAGCAATTGATCATAAAGGAAAGAGTTGCCAATGCTATCTCGTTGAAATAATTTATATGTATAGTATTGGAGTAGCATTACATGCAACTCATTGTGGTAAATTTTTTCATACCAACCTTTATCACCAAATAGTAAAAGTAAAGGATAAATTATAAGATCACAATTTTCATTAAGAATAAAAAGTTGTTTTATGGATGTATGCATATTTCTCTATTAAGAGATGGCTCACCTTCATCAATAGCAAAAACAACAATAACATCATTAATCTGTGGCAAGTTATAACAATGTAAATTAGTACCTTCACTTCTAACAATCATGTAAATACCATGCTTCAGAGTTCTATTACAAATTAAGTGATGTTGTTCTTGTAGTTCAAGATTATACATCATTTGAAAAGCTTGTGCATATGGGTTTATTATTCTTAACAAATGATCTAACTATAATAACAAATTAGGATCACAATTTATGTTGAATGGGTTTTGCTTTCTAATATTTATAGCCTCAGATGCGTCAAGTATGTAAAGTTGTCCATATGATGGTGGTATCTTAGTAGCAGGATATGCTAAAGTAATATTGTGATAAATTTGACCATGTATTCTAAAACAATATAAGCCTTTACCACTTAAATTATCAATATTAACACCCATTGATGCAAAAGCACTATTGAAATTTCTTATGTTAATTTTAAAGTTGGAGGTTTTATTTTCATTAGGTAAAGATGAAAGTTGAGGAAGGGAAATTTTTCCATTCTGGCAACACATTGATCTTGACTCGTTTTCAAAATGTAATGCACCACAAAAGACACATATGGATGACATATTTCCAATATTAAACATATGTGTTGTATGGTCATTATAATTCTTTGATGTACTAATTTATAGACAGTATAACTATGATGATTGCATGCATTTGTATTAGTTTCATTAGCATTTTCAATGTCTATATTTGTATGACCTTCATCAGCATGTGCTATATTTGTATTAGCATCGTAAAGATCTTAAGTAATTTTTGCATTAGCATGTTCAAAGTCTAAATTAGTTTCTTCATTAGCATATGCAAAGTTGTTGTGAATATGAACATATGTGTTAGTATCAATAGTTAGAGGCAACTGGTGATGTATGCCTTTTAATACTCCATGAAGCCAAGGCATATTTGCTAGGGAGGAATTTTTGTTTGATAAATGAAATGAAATAACCTATCTAGTGCAAATTTAAACATAAGGCAAAAAGTAGATGCGAGTGATGCATCAATTTAAAGGAAAATCAAAGAACTTATCTTAAAATTTTCAGAGGTTTTAAGTAAAAGCCAAAACTCATGTTCTTACACCCGAAAAAAAAATTTAAGAAAAATAATCGAAGACTATATAGTGAGAGCACAATCTATACATGCCTTAAGCTGTAAACAAAAGAGACTAATCTAACAACCAACAAAACCTAGACACAGGACTAGCACACATTTTCTAGGGTGTGGTGAGCGCCCAAAAAGCCTCCCATGCTTTTAAGAATACAATGACACTTGATCCATGAGAGGTGGGTGGGGTCGAGAACTCACCTTGGGCTTATTCTCTCTTGTAGAAGGACAGGGACTGCAAACTCTTTGATGGTTATGGCTGTGAAGGCTAGCTCTGGCACTAGATGGCATCCACAAACCCAAATGAAGACGTCTCAAATTTTCACAACACACAAAATCCAGATTGTTGGGGTTGGGGGCCAAATTAGCAGCTGCCAGCCTGATGCTGAACATGAATCTCTGCAGGAAGGAGTGCAATTGCTGCGATTGCCACTGATCTGGCAAGCAAGCGTTAGCTCAATTACGGCAGGGCATCTACGGTGAGTTAAAAAGAACGGGCATGGAGGCAAGACATCAATAGTGACACATGTTAGATGCCTGTTTTGCCTCACTTGGAGCCAATGAGCACTGGAGCTGTGGTGGTCTCCCACTAGCCAGTGCAAACATCAGAAAAATTTCTCATGCAACCATGGCTACCAACCCTGGCCCAGGCCTGGGATCCAATGGCCGGCGGCGCTATCACTTTATAAATATAAATATAAATAAATAAATATATTTATATTCATCACTTTAATATTCCTTTTTGCTCAAACATTATAATAGTTTAGACACTCAGAAAGCTTTAAAGTCTCATTTTGATCTTCATCCATCATAAACACTTAATGCTCCCTCTCAAGGTGATCTACCTCATACTAAACCTTGGATTATTTTGCTGTATGTCTAGTCCCAAAATCTAACTTCCTCTTCTACCTCTGAAACTGTCCCTCCAATCTCTCCAAGAATTTTTATATCCCTTTCAAGATATCTATAATTATGCTTTACCTCTCTAGAACTATCATGGCTTGTTGCCTCTTAATCTATCCTATACTTTACCTCTCTAGAACTATCACGGCTTGTTGCCTCTTGATCGATCCTATAGATGCCTCTCTCTCAATAACACTTCCCAAAGAATCTTCTCACTGTTCTCCTTTAACCCAATCCAGAGCCATAATAGCTCTCTAAACCAGCCACCTGATGCTAACGCCTCTAGCTAGTGCCTCGCCTCTGAGCTGTGAATAACCAATCCATACCTCTGGACCACACTCACACCTGCCTATGCCTCTGCTCCACAACAAGATCATAAACATTTCCTTTTTTGGAAGTCTCATCCTCTAATTGTTACATTGCTCCCTCTCAAGGTGCTCTACCTCAAACTGAGGCCTTGGATAATCTAAACCACTTGAAGCAAGAGCAAGGATCTCTGGAAGGTAATGCTCTTGTGTGGAGTTATAAGCCACTCTCTAAACTAGCCGTCCACAGGTTCTCTCTTCTAGCCAGCACCTTTAGACCCTACCTAAGAATCACAATGCCTCTAGCTAGTGCTTATCATCACCTTAATCCAGCACACCTAGAGCTAGTGCCCTCTAGGTGCCTCTCCTAGCACTCAGCACCTCCACCCAACACCCAGCTTTGGTGCCATGCTGCCTCATCTCGCCCTGAGCAACTCACCAGCCGCACTCCAATAGTGTCTAGTGCTCGGCCTGGCTTGTTGCATTGATTGATGGATCAATCACGATGCATAGAGGGAGAATGGAAAGATGGGGCCCCAGGCTCTGAGTAGCCAACCCGAAATTCCAATGCACCGCAAAGGGATAGAGGAGCGATTAGAAAATCGCAGGGCTACAACGCCCATGCATCGCCTCAGCTTGCCAACAGCGTCTACAGCCTCTAGTGCCTTTGCCAGTGTCTAGTGCTCTACCTAGTGCCTCAGGACACTGTCTAGCACCTCTACTAACACAAGCCTCTACCCTTGAGCTCCACACCACACATAGCACATAACACCACCTATCTCAACATTTACCACCTTTGCCCTGACCTGGGCCTTAATGTAGCCATAGCCAAGAACTTCCTTTGCAGCCACAATTCTGTGACTCGCTCTCTTTGCCAACTTCCTTGCTAATCCACCTTTGACTAGCCACTTTGCTAGTGAGAGCCATCATCCCAGGATCTAAAGTCTGAATAGTGACAATAGATGAGCAAAGGATATTTCTCTGATATATCAAACAACAAAAAAAACAAGAAGAATAGTTGAGCTCCAACTCTTCCTGGGCAGCAGGTTGCAAACGGCCAGCTCCCTCCTCAGGATAAGCCCTAAACCCTAGCCCTAGAACGTAAAGATTTTCTTGACTGTGATGTACTGTGATGAAACACAGCCTTTTGGGATCACATAGCCTGGAAGAGAGAGAACACCATGATGTAATCTCAAAAAGTAGGAAGATTACATTCTACGTCCTTGAGTGCCTTTGGCATCACTCCTTGAGCCAAGCCGGACGAAAACCTGCGGTCAAACAATGCGTAGAAACAAAGTTTATCTGTCTAAAGTCTTGGCATACACTGCCGGAGAAGGACTGTGTAAGCTCTCCTTCCTAGCTGGAGTATATAGCGTGAATGGATAGATACCATCTGTGTGGTTGGCCACAACGCAGCTGCCGCAGATGAGCTCAACATGCGAAACTTTCTTGTGGAAACCGATCTCAGAAGTGTAATGCTTGTTTTCTCCCTTCATTTTTGAAACGAACAGGGAGCGAGTCGAACAGGGAGGATGTCGGGACGTGATCCTCCTAGCCAGCCTAAATCCCTAGGCCATGAAAGGGAATATTTCTGTTTTTTGCTACACAGGCCGAAATTACCAAGGCTGATCAAGGTTGGCATGCGGGAAGCTCCAGACTAGGGAAGTTAACGTATGGAAAGGTTTGCTTTTATGACTGCCGAAGCTTGTTTCTATCTCGCGACTCGTCCATGGCGATGCATGCCGACACGCCCTGGAAGTCGACCCGGGGGTGGTGGTCTCTCTCGTCGGCTTCTACGGAAAGTGTGGTAGCATGGCCTCTGACGCGAGCTCGCTGCTCGAGTGGTGGCCTGGAGCGTGCTCTTGATGGGCAGGTGATAGCAAACTGGTGCTCAAATGTTCACGGACTGGTTCTTGCAGCTCTCAGCAGTGGTGCTCGTCGATCAAGGCCGGGGGATCTTCCAGGCGATGGAGCGCCGCCTGGGGATGGACCATACCTTGAGCCAGGTGGAGGGGGTGGAGGTCACTAGGAGGATGTCGGGACGTGATCCCAAAATGGAGAGAGCAACCAGAAGATCCAAACCTGTTTGATCACACCATGCGAATTACTTCACCTCTCATTCGGGGCTTTATACTTTTCTCAGATAAGCGCGGCATCGCAATACCAGTAGAGACTGGAACAAAGTCATGCTGTTTTCCAACGCTCAACAATTCCCTTGGCGATAAGATTGATCCACTGGGAGCAGTTTCACAACACACTCCGCATCTCAGATATGAACGCACCCAGTTTTGCAAGCCCTTCCTTCGGGGAGCTACTTTCACCCAAGAGCTTCACAGCTGCGCTACCAACAATTACACCGTCCGCTCCCCACTTAGCAATCTGTTCCAAAAGAGCACGCTATAACAAAGTATGCGGTATGGTTTGCTTACTTGAGCTGCTTGTTCGGGCGTCGAAACACCAAATCCAACAGCTATCGGCTTCGTCGTCACCTGAAAAGTTGAAAGTTTATTATGACTGGAGAAAACCAAATCAGCAATATACCTGCTTGAGGTCTTTAAGAAGCTCCTCGACTCGGATACTGAGAGAAGCCCTTGCCCCTGTCACACCGGTCAAGCTCACCTACGGAAAGATATCAGATCTACTGCGATAGTTAAAGACCAAGAACTCACAAGATACACAAAACCCTGTGATGATTTGGCTATTTCTTCCATTCTTTCCCTCGGTGTGGTCGGCGTGGTTAGCAGCACCTAGAAAGATCAACCGAGAGTTAAAGTCAAGAACAAAAACTATCCAAAAGAGGTGGGCTCTTCAATGACACTTCAACTGAGAGCACTGGTACCTGATGCTTACAAGCTCAATATCTTGTGCCGCTGTCTTCTCTCTCAGAGCTTGAGTTTCTTCCAAAGGTACATCGGGGACAACCAAGCCTAAATTCCAGATTTCGTAAGCTTTGGCAAGAGAAAAAAAGCATCACTCACCAGAAACACCAGCCTCTTTGATTGAGGCCACAAAGTTGTCAATCCCGCGCTTGAGGATTGGATTGAAATAAGTGAAGAGCACCAGCGGCGCAGACAAAGTTGGTGCTACCTGTTATTAAAAAAAACTCGTTGTAAAAGAAAACCTGTTATATAAGAAAAATAGAAACTTTGGAGACATTTACCTCATGAACCATACTAAGAACGTTTTCCAGCGTCGTACCATTCCTGAGAGCCTTTGTGGCAGCAGCCTGAAAGATTGAAAACAAACAAACAAAAAATATCCAAAGAAAGTTGGATCAGGAAGAATAAAACAACGATGCAAAAAAAAAAAAAAAAAACTTACTTGAATCACTGGTCCATCGGCTAAAGGATCCGAGTAAGGAACGCCCAGCTCAATAATATCCGCGCCTCGAGCATCCAGAAGCTTCAAAGCATCAGCCGTGGTCTCCAAGTTGGGATCGCCAGCAGTGATATACGGGATCAAAGCAATCTACAGCTTCACATTTTGTATCAATCACAAAAAGGAGAGGATGGATCCTCACCTTCTTCAATTCGCGAAGCTGGGCAAACTTGGCGCTGACTCCCTTTCCAGTCACCACTGGAGTGCCGACGGCCGCCACGGCGAAAACCTGAGCACGTCCACTGCTAGATCTGATGAAGGGCGCACTGTTCATCCCCACGGGCTGGAGAGCCGCCATGGAAGAAAACCCCTCAAGAACCCTAAATGACTGTGGGCATTTTCCCGCCCAAACGTTTAAAATGCAACGGAGAGCTAGGGTTCCATCAATCGATGGTGAGCTCGTTGATATTGGCCAGGGTCACATAGGGCGCGGATTTCTCCGGCTCCAGGGCATAGATGTGCTCCGCCGCGCGGCTGCCCAGCCCGGCATCCACATGAATCCACGATGCCGTCAGCAAATTCCCCCAGCTGATCCTCCCCGGCGCCACCGGCATCGAATCCACCAGGCCCTCGGCGTCCCCGAGCTCCCCAGCCCGGCCCAGCGCATCGATCATCGCCGTGTAGTGCCCTAGCGACGGATGATCCAGCCCAAAGTCGCGGGAGATCGCGGCGAAACATTCGTGCGCCTGCGCGATGGATCCAACCGCGCCGTGCGCCAGCAGCATCGTCGTCAGCGCGCTCTCGTCCGCCCGGATCCCGTGGAGCAGCATCTCGCGGAAGAGATCGATGGCGTCGCGGTGGTGGCCGTGATGGGCGAAGCCCGCGAGCATCACGCTCCAGAGGATTGGGTCGGGGATCCAGCGCGCCTGGCGGAACATCGTCGCGGCCTCGCGGATCTTGCCATTGCGCGTGTACGCCGCCATCAAGCTGGTCCACAGCACAAGATCCGGCTCGTGGATTCGATCAAACAGGCGCTGGGCCTCCTGGAGCTCGCCATTGTCGGCGAATCCACACACCACGATCGTCCACACTGTCACGTCCCACTCGGGCATTCGATCCAGCACAGCTTTCGCCGCGGCGGCCTCTCCCCAGCGCGCGTAGGCGGCAACCATCGCGGTCCATGACACGATCGAGTGGAGCTCGCGCTTGGAATCGAAGAGGGCTTTTGCCGGATCGAGATGCCCACTTCGCGCATACGCCTGGAACATCGTGCTCCACGCGCCGGATCGAGACGAGACTGGGGTCTCATCGAAGACAAGCCGGGCTCCCGCAAGATCCCCATTGCGAGCAAATGCCGCGATCATCACGTTCCTCGAAGGGAGATCGCTGCTAGGCATGAAAGCAAAGATTCGAGACGATGAATCCAGATTTCCGCTCGTAGCGTAGCCCTGGCAGAGAACGCTCCACGCGATTGGATCGGTCTCGGGCATTCGATCGATCACCCGGTGCGCAAAATCGACTTGCCCAGAGAGAGCAAATGCGGTAGCGAGGGCAGTCCACGAGACATCGTTCTTCGCCGGCATGGATTGATCGAAGAACTCCTTGCAGGAATCTAGTCTTCCAGTTTGCGAGTACGCCGACAGCATCGCATTGCAAGCGACAGTGTCGATCTCCGGCATCGCATCAAACACGCTCTTCGATTCCTCCAGATGCCCTCTCTGGGCAAGGGCGTCGATCACTGCGGTTCCCGCGACGATCGAGTGGTGTGGCATCTTTTGGAATATTTCCCGCATCTCCGGAACATAGCCCGCCTTGGAGAAGGCGGCGACGATGAAGTTCCAGGTCACAGAGTTCTTCCCCGACGCAAGATCAAACAGACTCTTGGATTCCTGGAGTTGCCCGAGCTGCCCAGCTCCCGTGATCATCAGGTTCCATGAATTCAAGTCCCGGGTCGGCATGAGATCGAAGATCTTCCTCGCGGCGTCGAGGTCCCTGTGCTGGATGTGGATCTTGCAGGCGGCATTGCAAGCGATGGCGTCCCACTCTGGCATCCGGCGGAAGAATTCCAGCGCCAGCGACAGATCAAAGAGATGATCTTGTTGTTCTTCCCAGGAAATCTGTCCCAGGGCCGTGACCATAGTGATCCAAGACACAGCGCTCCTCTCCGGCATCGTTTCAAAGTAATGCTTCGCTCTATCAAGATGCCCAGTTTGGGCATTCACTGATATTACGGTGTTCCAGGAGATTGTGGCTCTCTGCGGCATTCGATCAAACAAGTCTCGCGCGTGATCGCAATCCAATGCTCTTGCGTAGGCACTGCAAAGAGAATTCCAGGTCACTACATTTCTCTGCGGCGCCCTATCGAAGAGTTCTTTGGCTTGCAGTGGATGCGCGGCTGTGGCATATGCCGCGATGATCGTGTTCCACGAGTAGATGTCCGGCAATTCGATCGCGTCGAAGGATCTCCGTGCCAGATCGAGGCTGCCGCATTTGCTGTACATGTTGAGCGCGAGATTGGCAAGATAGACGCTGCGCCGGTGCTTGCTCTCGAGGATCGCACTGTGGATCTGTGATCCCTGGGCTAGATCCCGGCAGTGCAGGAGCGCCCGGGCGAAATCCCCAAACATGGGAGGAGGATGGATCAATGCGGCTCCACATCGAGATTTGAGTGGGAGAATCACGAGCTAGGGATAGGGTTTTTGGGAGTGAGGGAGGTATGGCGTCGCCCATGGCGCCACCGGGCTCTCCAGATTCGCAGCACAATGTGGAGGAGGAGGAAGAGGAGGACGATCGCGACGATGCGGCAGCTGGAGGAGCTGGGGATCTCTACTCGACAGTGGTGTACAAGCCAGATCATCACTCCAGTGCCTACTCGGCCGCGCTCCACAAGAGTGCCAAGGATCTCTCGGCGCTACTCGACAAATCCGCGGCCGGGGGCGATCTCGATGGGGAGGATGATATTTACTCCACTGTTGTGTACAAGGGATCGGCCAGGGAAGACGAGGACGAGGAGAGTGCCGTGAAGAGGAGCGATCCTGTCTCTGGGGAATTCAAGGCTAGCAGGGAGGAATTCTCGACAGTGATCCTCAGGACTGGTGAGTCGTTCGTTCGCAAGACTCCGGAATCTAGCGCGTTTCTCCGGAAGAAACCGAGCCTTCCCAGGTCCAGGGACGAAGTTCTAGCTCCTCCCCAGAATGACGAGAGGTTTGCAAAGCGCAGAGGCAGCAGCAGTCCTGTGCATGAGAATGTGGCTCGTGAAGATCCTTCTTTGAAGTACGATCTTCTCAACCAGCTTGGTAAGGATTTGTGTTCTTCTTCTTCTTTTCTTTCCTTCTCTTGATGGAGAGTGGGATTTTCGCAGGAAAGGGATCATATGGAGCGGTGTATAAGGCTCGGGATCGTAGAACATCCGAGTTCGTCGCGATCAAAGTTATATCCTTGACGGAAGGGGTAAGAAAGTTTGTAGTACTCTTTCAAGTGGTTCTTATATTATTTCCGTAAGCTAGGAAGAAGGCTATGACGAGATACGAGGAGAGATTGAGATGCTGCAGCAGTGCAATCACCCCAACGTTGTGCGCTATCTGGGAAGCTATCAAGGAGAAGAATACTTGTGGGTAAGTTGTCGAGCAAGGAAAGAAACAGCAAGTGGTAATGGTTTTTTCCAGATTGTTATGGAATACTGTGGAGGAGGCAGCGTTGGGGATCTCATGAGCATTACTGATGAACCTCTGGAAGAAGTTCAAATCGCCTATATATGCAGAGAGGCTTTGAAGGTGCGTAAAGAAAGAATTGTTTTTGCACAAGATGCTTAGTGTTTGCCTCTTAGGGACTTGCTTACCTTCATGCAATCTTTAAAGTCCACCGTGATATCAAGGGGGGAAATATCTTACTTACGGAACAAGGAGAGGTGAAGCTGGGTAAGGATCTAGATTCTGGCGTACAAAAGAGATCAATCTTTTGCACTACTCAACTCACGTCTGTGCAGGTGATTTCGGTGTTGCGGCGCAGCTTACAAGAACGATGTCTAAGCGTAACACTGTAAGTATGGAAATGTTTCTTTTGCATTGCTATAAGCTATTGCTTTGCAGTTTATTGGTACTCCTCATTGGATGGCTCCCGAAGTCATACAAGAAAGTCGGTATGATGGCAAGGTAAGCGTGTCTTTGATATTTGTTTCCTGTGAGAACTAATCTCTCAGCTAGGTGGACGTATGGGCTTTAGGAGTTTCGGCAATTGAAATGGCAGAGGTAAGTAACTATAATAACAAAGCATGCAAGGACTGAAACTTATTATTGATGCAGGGGCTTCCTCCAAGATCGAATGTTCACCCTATGCGTGTAAGACGTTTGTTTAGTTTCGATGAAGCATAATTTGCTGCGTTTCGTTTCAGGTATTGTTCATGATTTCCAGAGAGCCTGCGCCAATGCTGGAGGATAAAGAGAAATGGTACGTCAATCGTCCTGGTTTATGTGTGCTAAATCTCGAGCGTATTCAGGTCGTTGGTTTTTCACGATTTTGTAGCCAAATGTTTGACAAAGGAGCCACGTCTCAGACCGACAGCAACCGCGTTACTTCAGGTGTGGTTCTTTTTGTAGAATCAGTTTAATCCATCACATTTCCGTGAATTTCCCTGTGCAGCACAAGTTTATTGAGAAATGCAAAGGTAGCGCTACATCTATGCTTCCAAGGATCGAAAGAGCTCGAGCGTTGAAGGAATTGTCTGCTCGAACGTTTGGTCCAGAACAAGCAACAGTTTCCTCGGGGAATGGGGTGAGCTTTGATAATTTTTGCTTCGTTGATTTGAAAGTCATTTTGTGTGCTTCAGCAATGGTCATGGGAGAGGGGTCAAACCGTAAAAATGCATGAAAGCGTGGCTGCGACTGTATTAGTTAGACCAGACAAGGAAAAGGCGGATATTGACAACGAGGATACTGATGGTTGACTATTCTTGGATTACAAAAACTTTGCGTTCTGATGCTTTTCTTTTGTGTGTGTGTGTTAGTTGGCGACTTTGGAACGATGGTCGTTCACAGAACTTCGTCGTTAACGGCACAATCTAGTGACTTGCTTCCGCTGAATCAATCAAGTACCGACCTGCAAGGGGATAATGCCACCGTTAAAAGCAATGCGAAGGTGGAAAGCGAAAATGTAGTTGGCGAAGAAAGGTACGCGTTCGTCGTTCATTGACGGCTTTCTGGACGTTCTAATCCCGTTAATTTTTCAGACATGACGAGCCTGTGATTGCAGCGCCAATCGATCTCCCTCCGTTCTCCCCGGCTACGCCACCTTCTTTATCACCAAATCAACAACTTTCTAACGAGAACCAAACCCTGAGAAGAAGAAAAAGTCCTGGAGATGGAGCTACTACTGTGGGTGGAACAACGCCCCGTAATCTAGGAGGGTTTGCTTTGCATGACAAGGTACACAATTCTCTTTCGTTTCCTGGAACTTTTGCTTGATCCAAATTTCCGTGGCAGCTAGTGTCCATCTACGCGGCTGGAAACACTGTCCCAATACCGTTTCTACGAGCGACTGACATCTCTGCAATAGCCTTGCTATCCGACGACGTCTTGGGGAACGGTTTTGCCGATCACAGCGGCGCTGTGGCGCTGCAAACCGTCGAAGAACTCTACAATGCGGCCGGGGTGGCGGATTCCACATTCAAAAAGGGGAAGAAGCCAGGAACTAGTGAGGTATTTAACACACAAGCTGCTCTCTTGATTGAACCGGTGAGTGACGAGCTCCTTTGCACAGCAGACGCCTCTGCCCGCAAGCGTCTATCAAAGCCTGGCGACAAGCAGCACGCTCCAAAATCTCGCGCGTGCTCTAGCTTATCACAAAAGGTACTACCACTATCCATCTCGACAGTGCTTCCAAGTTCTAAGCGTCTCTCTCGCTTCTCATACAGATGCTACGAAGAAATGCCGCTGCAAGGTTGGCAGGCTGCTCAAGAAGAGCGCGTCATTGGCAACTTATCTGACACCCTGCGAACAATCTTGCGCCTGTAGAAGAAGAATGGCAGCTTTGTGCAAAAATCCCAACTCCAGTGTAAGTAGCTAGTCAAATTAATCCAAGAGCTTGTTATTCTCTTACCATCTAAACCAGGATCTAGAGCAGCCAGTGGGAGCAGGCCACCTGGGCATCATCTTAGCCACTTAAAGACTTGTGGTGCTAGCGGTAGAGTGTCCGAGAGGAGTTTTTTTGGAGCGAGAGGAGCAATGGCGGCAGTGTTGGAGCGCTCGGCCTTCTGCGGCTCGTCCCTCGCGAGAGCACCAGTGGCAGCACGGGGCCTCCCGGCGTTGAGCATCCGCCTCACCGTCACAGCCAGTGGAGGCAAGAAGATCTCGACCAAAACACCTCTAGGTACGTGCAAACTTTAGCTCGTTTTTACATCCTCACTCTTCTTTCATTCCAACCTCACAATCTCGATCCAAACAGGCCCTTCTGGAGACCTCACTTTCAAGTCGGGAGTGGACGCATCTGGTCGCGGAGCCAAGGTATTTGATAGTTTTTCTGCGGTGCGCTGAACCATCTCGGTTCTTGTTTATGAATCACAACAGGGGAAGGGCGTGTACCAATTCACGAAGAAATACGGGGCCAATGTGGACGGATACAGGTGAGCAAGGAAACGAGAAAATAACGGAGAGAAGTCTAACGAAGCTGGAAATTCTTGCAGTCCCATCTACACTCCAGACGAATGGTCGCCTTCGGGAGATGTTTACTCGGGTGGTAAGTGGAAGTTTGCTTCGTTTTTTTCCTTCGAGTTGTAAGGTTTTCTTGTTGGATTTCCAGGCCAGACGGGGCTGTTGCTATGGGCAATAACGCTGGGAGGTGTGCTTCTGGCTGGAGTGTTCCTTGTCTACAGCACCAGCGCTCTCGCAAGCTAAAGTCTTGTAAACATTATCCTGTGGATAAAAAGATTTTACGTATTCGACGACAAGCAAATATCCCTAGGTAGCTAATCTGATCGCAAAACAAATATGACTCGAAATATGAAAAGAACAAAGTAAACATTTGTAAAGTCTGTTTTGTGTTCATCCAGAATTTGGTTTAATCACGCCATATGCTTAATAACTTATAAGCCTCCAAGTTTTCTCACCATCTTCGACACACGATTCAATTACGATCGTTTGAAGCTCGCAATTCTCAAGCCTGTAATGAAGGTTTTCATACAGAAAACTATAGAACGGAGGAATTACCACCCAAGATCAGATGTAGAGCTTCCACTGATAGCTCTAAGAAACTCGTGCAAGAAGTAGGAATGAGAAACCACCGCCATCTCCTTCTCCTCTCGACTCATCAACCTGGCACGAACCAAGCTCCAAGGATTCAACTCCAAAAGATCGAGCGGGCGAATCATCTAGACAAGCTTGTTACCATTGGAAGAAAGCTTTGGCTCGCTCTTGCATTTCTTGGAGAGACTCCTCCACCCCGGGCCGCCACAGCACATCCTGATCGTGTTGGACGAGCGAGAAATCAATCCCTGGGAACTCCGCGCTGTAGGAGCTGATATCACGCCTGCGATGCGCGGCCGAATGAGCCTGGCGCGCGCGAGAGGACATTAGTAAACTCTGGAACGAAAAAGACGAGAGAGAGGCCCTCACAATGTGCTCTCGACATAGCTCTTGCGCTACAAATGGTGGAGATTTTGTCGATGGCTTTGCTCTTGTGCAAGGATTCGTCTTCCCTTTCTTCATGAGGATCGGTTTTGCTTCACCATTGTCGTCGTAAATCTCTCGCTCGCCAAACACCCCAGCGGCTGTTTGCAGTGTCCTGTTTGTTTTGAAAGGAAAAAGAAGTAAGAAAACTTTGATCGAAGGGAGCTTACCTTGTCATTGGAGAGACTACAACTAATCCGATTTTGCTAGCCAGTCCGCTCGCTACAACCATTTGACGACACTTCTCGACCTGATTGATTTAGAACGATAGAAACTTAGAACGAAGGAAAAAGGACAGGGTTTTTTCTTTTTTTCTTGTTTCCTATACCTGTAGCCAGCCCGTAGGAGTGAGACTGGCATCAAACCTGTAGGATGGAACGATGCGGGACAAGATGGATAGCCAAATGGAGCTCAAGAGTTGCAAGAGACGCCCAAGTTTGATAGTTCGCCATCCTCCAAAAAGAATCAAGCGCCGGAGCTCCGTGAGAGTTGTTCTCGCGAGGTTGTGGTAGCCTTGAGCGTGACGAATCTATAACGAGGAATGGAAACACGCGCTAGCAAATTTTTCACAAACCAGGTGTATCGTTTTGTACTGAGTCGCCATCTCTGGAGCTATAGGGTTACCTCAGGGTTATTAAGTCCTTTTCAATATGATGTTGTGGCAACTATTTTACCAGTATTTTCAAACCTAAGACCAACATTGCACAAACATTGCACAGAATGGGCATTGCACAAAAACGATGGCGTTTCGGCACGCTACAAAGGTATGGAGCTCTAGGAACGTGGTCATCAAAACCGCTGGAGAATCCTCGGGATTGAGTGGTCGCGCCGTCGCTCTCCAAGTCGAGCGGCATAATTTAATCCCTCGTTTCGTTCTTCAACAGAACGAGCTCGGCGATGTCTATCTTACGTGCTGTTCGAGCGGTGAGTTGTGTCAGGGACAAACATCCGATCGACGAAATCTCGAGGTAAGATATGAAATGGACTGATACGCTGTGGTCTTAACGATCTCGAGGTTGATGGTGGTTGCAAGAGCTACTTCTTGGCTGCTATATAAACTCGCCCCTTTGGAACACATCCGAAAAAGCATAGAAAAATGCCTGCATTGAAGTTCTTCTTCGAGGCTCTCTTTCTGGCCGCGATTTTTATCCTCCAGGCTCTCTGCGAGCCTCAGGGTTCCAAGGGAGTCACCAGTCGATTCGTGAGAAAGCTCCAAGACTCTGGGGATTTGCCAGAGACGAGCGAATGGTTCATCACTTTCGACGCAACTTTGAACCTTCCCGAACAGGTAACTCCTCAAGCGAGCTTTTGTGTTAGTCTCGCGTTGATGATCTGATCATCTCTTCTTGGAAAGGTTCACTTGACGCAAGGAGATTACATTGGCCAAACAACGACGGTCTCGTGGGTAACTTGGGCCAGCTCCAGCGGCAACATCGTCCAGTATGGAAAGAGCAAAGACAGCTACACAAGCAGCATCCAAAGCGATGTCACAACGTACACATACGGCGACTACACATCTGGCTTTATCCACCATGCCAAATTGGAGGGACTCGATGTAAGCCTCGCAAAACTCCATCTTTGTTTGGTTGAATCTTGGAACGAACCTAAGCTTTTGTCTATAGTATGGGACCACCTATTTCTACAAGGTTGGAGATGGAAGCTCTTCTCGGGAATTCTCATTCACAACTCCTCCAGAAGTTGGTCCGGATGCTGCTCACGTTTTTGGGATCACAGGTAGCTTTAGTCGATTTCTAGAGCTCTAACCGAGATTTCTCCTCTTTTTCTTTCTTGAAGCTGATCTCGGACAGACTATAAACTCTGCTCAAACAGTCGCTCACTACACACGAAGTGGCGGCCAGACGATGCTCTTCGTAGGAGACATGTCTTACGCTGATAGATACAAGAGCAACAGCCAAGTGAGATGGGATACATGGCTTCGCCTCCTGGAGAACAGCACCGCATTCCAGTCGTGGATGTGGGTGGCGGGCGATCACGAGATCGAGGCCAAAAGCAACAGCGTAAGAACTTACGAGGCCAAACAATTTCCTCCATTTTCCTTCCATCTGAAAGTTTCGATCTTGCCAGGGAGAGACCGAGAAGTTCAAAGCTTTCAACAAAAGATTTCCAGTGCCTTACCAAGCATCCGGGAGCACGTCGAGCTTGTATTACGCGTTCAAGAGAGCCTCGGCTCACTTCATCGCAATCTCATACTACGATGACTATTGTAAGCATGCAATTCCAATTCTTTTCCCAGCACTTGAAAACTCTAAACATGTTTGCCTATTTCCTGGATAGCCGAAGGTAGCACTCAGTACCAGTGGCTACAAACCGAGCTCTCAAAGGTGGATAGAAGCACGACGCCATGGCTGATTATCTTGGAGCACGTCCCATGGTACAATAGCAACACACACCACTACCAGCAGGGAGATGGAATGCGCTCCGTGCTCGAGCCTCTCATTGTTAATGCCAAGGCCGACATATTCTTTGCTGGTCACGTCCATGCCTACGAGCGCACGGTAGAAAAATGTGAACTATTTTCCCCTGAAGAAACTGTCGACATTTTTTCGCTTTTTCCAGTTTCGTGCTTCATCGCTCAATTGCTCTGGCGGCTGTAGCGATGAAAACGCTCCCGTTTACATCAACATTGGAGATGGTGGAAACTCGGAAGGCCTGGTTGGAAGGTGAGTGATTGTTCTTTGGTTCTAAAGGTTTCTTTGTTTGCTCATCAAGATCATATATATAGTTTTGTGAGCCCCCAGCCGAGCTACTCTGCATTTCGGGAAGCAAGCTATGGATTTGCGACGCTGGACATCAGGAACAGGACCCATGCTTTGTACAATTGGCACCGAAACGACGATGGCGATGCCGTCGTAGCAGACTCTACATGGATTATCAATCGCGTCTCCTCGTAGTTTAAAATTCAAGCTGCTCAACCAGCAGACTAACTTACAGAATGTAAATCAGGCCCAAACCCTGTTTCGCTTTATCAAGTCGGAGGTTTTGAGTTTGTCTATCTTGGCTGCGAGGATGAAATCATTTTCTGTGAGGCCACCTGCGCAAAAATCACAGGTTTCTTAGCGATCGACAAAAAGCAAGAAAAGAAATCCTGAGAAGGGAGACTACCAAGTGACTCCGTCCATATGTCGACTTTTGCTCTGTTTTTCCGATCGAGCGAGAGGCTGGGGAAGTAATTCTCGGCCTTGGCTACAGCGGCAATCCTCTGGAAGAGCTCCACTCCAGCGCTAAAACTCGCCAAGTTCCATTCGCCCTGTAGCTTCAAGCAGCCATCCTCGTTTATGATCCTCCATCCCACCACCTATCCAATGGGAACCTTACAAAAGAGCAAAAAAAAGATTTGGCATGCCTTGCGAAGAAATTCCTTGGCCTCTTTCTCGGTCATGGCTGTTGCACCACGGGGAAGCTCAGCGCAAGATTTCTGGGCAATCTCCACCGGGCGGGAGGGAACAAGGATGATGTGCTCGGTGCTGGCATTCCCAAGAACCTTGTCCCCAAATTTGCTCTCCAGCTCCTCCGGGAATGGATCCCTGGCTCCAAGTTCGATGTCCTTCCCTGCTGCTGTGGCTCGGACGAGCATTACCTTGCGTGTACCACAGGCGGGAAGCTGGAATGAAGGCCAAGATGACGGCATTGCCACGCCAAGAAGAGCCATCGCCATGGCCTTCAATTTTCAACAAACACATTCTTAAATAGGATTTCATAATTATTTATTATTTCATATCCTGTTTATTCAGGTATAAACTTCTTTTTGTTATAATAGAAAACAATTAGCATGCATCTAAATATTATTTTGTTGTGCAGCATGGTTTTCTTTTTTATTTTAAATGCTAATCTTTTTTAGTTTTTAAAGCCATGAATTATTTATGAATATTTATTTTATTGCAAAAAATAATATTATAGTTGTTCACAGTTTATAATGACAAGATAATCTATATACTAGTCACTTAGTGAGGGGTGAACACTTTGGTGGTACTTCTTCATTTGCCTCACTACCCAATAAGATGACAGAATGAGTGTTGTGATTTGGCCATGTCTATATTAACTTCTATCATCGTTTAGTAATCTAGCTTAAGATATATGTCAAGTAGAAGCTGTCTTAATCTTTTTGTGCACTCCAATTGATACAAAATCTACAACCACATTTAAATAACTTCAACACCTTTTCACACTGGCATTGTACACAAACCAATTGGATTTACAGTGTAGTGAACCTCAAATTTGGAGTGGAGGTGATCATTTATATACCAAGAAACCAATTGCCAAAAGATCATTAAACAATTCTGTCGTCTGAAGATTATCTTAACAATAATTTCTTGTCCTTCCTATCAAGAGTTTTGAAGTAAAGTTTGCTACTGTTGTTGCTGAAGCAATATTAGAATATTGACGCAGGAAAAATAACAAGAGAAAGAAGCATGAAAGCATGAGTGCCTCATGGCTGCTCAGACACTTGGTGTTTAAGAATGTTAATAAATTATAAACATATTTATAATTTATAAACACCATAAACACCATAAAGTTCATGATCACTTTCAGCTATAAATTAAGATGAAATGCTATTGAGAAGTTATTATTAGCCTAACTAAAAGAGAAGGTTCTATCTTATTTCTAAAAGACATTCTCAACTGTTATAATTCTAAGTAAAAATAATTGTTAAATCTAAATAATTCCTGAAGTTACTAGACAAAAGAAATTGTCAATAACAAAGGAATTTAAGAATATCAGTAACAAACATCTTTTGAATAAAGAATTTAAAAAAAGTGTATTGTGATTTGCTCATTTTGCTATAATATAGACCCTACCCCTTGTAGTATGTTTTAAGAAAATTACTAGGGCATTAAACATTTTTCTAGTTTATTTATTTATATTAATTTATGCAGCTGAAATCCAGAAGATACAAATTTTATAAATTCAAACGCTACAAATAGGATTTGTAGCATTTATCATTTTTTCTTTTGATGATAAAGCTAAGCTTCTTCCTATTGTAGAAATACCATCTGGTCAAGGTATTAAATCTGAAATAACTTTACCAGATGAAATATATGGTAAAATATATATGAATATACAACTATGGCTTTATAGTCATGAAAGAGGTAACAGTTCTTAGCATTGTTTTTCTTATCCTACTGGAGATAATGGTAACACTACTATAGCCATATTTGACTTACTTAGTTCTACTATAATATTAGGAATTTATAGTATTTATTATTGGGATAGAAACATACCTCCTATGATCATTTCAATAATTAGCTCTATAATTTATAATACTTTATTAGAATTTCTGTTTAGAACACCTCCAAATAAAGCAGATTTACAACTTAATTGAGTTATATAGAGTTATATATTAAAAATTAATCAAAGTGGATTATATTAGGAAATTATATTAAATATTAGCTTGTATTAATGGTGATAGAAATTTAATTTATATATTATAAACAGTTAAGTTGTGTGGTGACCAAATTTATTAACCTTAGTTGACTTAATTATGAATTATCGTTTTATTCATATATGTTAAGGTTCTAGGTTAGTTGCTCTAACATCAGATATTTATGTATTTATTGGTGGGAGAGATATACCCCCTTCCATAAGCTCTAGCTTTAGACCATCAAATAAGCTTAAATTTTTTAATGATTGTTATATTTAATTGAGTACATTCATTAACTCTACACTTTATTTAGTATTTTAGGTTATATACAAAAGCACAAATTTATCTATATTCTAATTGTAAATTAGAATTATATACTGAAAATGTGTTTTTTTATGAGACAAAGGTGCATTTTTCATTTATAGTATTTTCTAATTCAGGTAAAAAAAATTTGGGACATTAAAAAGTTATTAGTTGTTAAGTGTGGAGACATGTGGCCAAATATCAAATAAAACAAAAAGGTAAAAAAACCCTTCAAAAGAAAAAAAAAGGTCATTCTTCAAAGTTAAGGAGGAGAGGATGGAGGTTCTTTAGTTATGTTTCCAGCGTCAACATGTAGATCACAACAGCATGATCCAAGGCTCAATAAGAGGCAAATCACCTTAAGAGAGAGCAAAGAGAATAATGAAGGAGCAATTTTCTTAATGAGGATCAAAGGGAAACCTCCATTCCAGTGTTTAAGCTTTTATGATGTTCAAGCAAGAGAGAATGTTGAGATAATACATTGTTCTCCTTATGAAATCCAAATGGCACATGCCTTGCCACCTCCCTAATTCCTTAGGCTAGGTGGTCACTAGAGGGTTATTAGTCACAATCCTTGGTTTCTCCTCTTGTTATATATATTCAAAGTGATATATTTTTGTATGTAGGGATGGCATTGGTTCATGGACGATGCACATGCTGTTATGACCAACCTTGACACTAGAGGCATGGCATACGTAAGAACAACCTAAAACATCCACACTCACATCTTAGATCACACCTCTCTCAATGATCTCAGCCTTATCCTTCACAAGTCCTTCATGGACATGGATTGGGAGTTCCAGGCCACTACAAAGGACTCATTGGATCCAGACTCAGTGCTTTATGAAGGAGAGCACATCAAGGCTGTGGGTGGTAGTGTTACTTTTGGGTGGCTCAAGGATCTCAATGTGAGCAGGAGAGGACTACTGCCTCAAGATCCCAGCCAAGCTTTTGTTTGAGAAGCAACAATTAAGCACAACACCAGAGACCAGGAAGACATTTCCAGGGATTGAGTTTGTGGCAGTTATACAATATAACTATAGTCATAATTTACTTTTAATTAATTATAAAATTTTAAATTTGAGTGCATTTTACTGTTCATAAAAGGGTAATTTCTTATTAATCTTTTAAAGGAAAGGCCAGAATGAAAATAAACTTTCATAATGAAATGTATTATTCTTAGAAAACATTAAGTTTCTTATGTATGACCCATAGATAAACAGTGTTAATAAAGGGTTAAATATAAAGTAGTAAAATTTGGTGGATAATAAAATATATAAAACACATTCATTAGAATATACTATATCTATGGCATATCTGTCTCCAAAAATAACTAATCATTAATGCCAAAACCTAACTCCCTTTGTAAAATTCTATAGCTGGCTCTTTACTTAGTCAAAAGGCTAAAGATCTCCTTCTTAGGATAACCTACCAAAATCTCTTTATCAAACCTTGATTGATGAATATATATAATTGCTTTTGCTCTAGTATGTCTAGCTAATGCCTCCAGCTTGTTCCCAACCATCAATGACCCAAACTCCCACACAAGTAGCCTTTGATCTATGCATAACCTTTAATGCATAAAGGTTGTTAGCTTGGATCATACTCACACCCAATGCAACAATGCTCTTTACATACTTTTACTCCACCATTGTAGCATATTTGATCATGGGATGAAATTTAATTATATTATCATTGTGAATCTTTAGAATCTTAGGGATAAATAGGGATAAAATAGCCACAAAGGGTTTTATTTTATCAAGTACTTACCCATTTTCTAGTTGGCTAAGAGAAGAGAGATATAGTGTGTATTAGAGTAAATAGTTTTATTTTCATTAATTAATAGCTAAATAATACAATAATTATACAAAATATAATAAAATATTAACTTTAGCTATGATTAAAATCTAGTCTCTCATTTCACTATCTCAGCCACACCAGTGACTCACTCACAGCTGTGAGATGTATATGCCAAGCTGGATGGCACCATGGCTGCAGTAAGAACTCTCACTTGTCCACGAAGGCCAACTAGCACACATCATAGTTGTTGCTCTCGACACAGCCAGGTGCAAGCTTGTGACTTACAAGCAGTAACAACATAGCCTTGTCCAGCCTGAATATATGTTTAATATTTGAATTTATTTGGAATATACGATAATAAATATAATGCATATTTTAGAATTTAGTAACATTAAAAGTGTAAATATGAAATTAATTCAAACTTTGACCATCTTGTGCGTTGTTGATAGTTAGCACTTTTGATGTTAAATGTATAGGTTTAGGCTATGAATGCCTTCACTTGGGTTTTCTAAATATGACCAAATCCCCATTGGCACATTTGATTTTGTTTTCTAATGTTATAGTAATTTCTTTACTATTTAAGGATGACTCACAGCTTTACAGAACACATTTATGGTGTTCAGGGTTTTTTTTTCTAGTTATAGCTTCTGCCTAGGTCTTCTTCTTCATTGGCACACATTTCGAATTGGCCAGCCCCACCACCTGCCACCCCCCAACCTTCTCTACATGGATTGGATTTTGGATTTGCTGCCCCTGAGTTCTTCAGTTTCAAAAGGTAAGCGGCTGGATCACATGACTGGAAATCTCTTGTGGATGTCATAAGACCTAGAATTGGCACCACACTCATGATCACAATAGCGTCCAATGGGTACATATGTAGAGCTACTCACCTTTTCAAGCATTTCTGAGTGGTAAGAGAGTCTTTGATGCCTGCTTCATGCAACAGTATACGAAATCATGTTGCACCCTTCAAGCCTTTGTCCACAAATTGGAGCTCCAAACTAGTGTCAATAGTTCCTTAGGACAGCCAATATAGGCAGTTGGACAACCTTCAAAGGTCTCGTCTATATTGCTACCAGCAGCATGTTCTTTGTCCCTCCAAAAGTCTGTAGTGCTAGGTATCCATCGAGAACTCAAGCAGCTACATCGTGTCTAACATCTACTACAACTTTGTTAACACAAGTGACATCTAGCTTTCTCCA